TGCTGTCCGAGGGTCTGTCTGGGTTGAGGCCTCAGACACAGCCGATGTCGCACCTCCTGCAGCCACTGGGGAACGTGCTCTGCGGCGTGCCATGACCATGCCTGGGGAAGGACACACCACTACGGAAAATGAAGGTGCCTTCTGGCGTCCTTCTGCGCGAACTGCTGTGCAAACTGCTGCCTCTGTTTGCTGCCTCTGTTGTGCAAACTGCTGCCTCTGTTTGCTGCGCTCTGGGAGCTGCGCTCTAGGCCTGGCTCTTATATAGGCCTCAACCTAGCAGTGACTCACAGGGTGCTTGACCCACCCAATCAAGAGCCACCTGAATCAAAAGCCCCAACTCTCTCTGGGCAACCCAGAGGGCTCATTAGCAGCAGCCCCACGTAGCTAGAACTTCCCAGGAGAAGTTAAGTCAAGGCCTCCTGCAGTAGTCCTTGCCTAGCTCTCCCTTCCTGCTAGCAGCAAGCACTGTCTAGCTCCTCAGGGGTCCCCAGAAAGCCTCCACAACTTCCAACAAGGCCCACAAAAGGCCCAGGCAGAGCCCAGACACTGCTGCCTCTGTTCGCTGCGCTCTGGGAGCTGCGCTGTAGGCCTGGGTCTTATATAGGCCTCTGCCTAGCAGTGACTCACAGGGTGCTTGACCCCGTGATCTATGGACAAAGTACACTGATTAACTTGCTGCCTGACGCTAAGGGACCAAACCTCATCTTTCTGCCAGCCACACCTCATCTTTGTCAGGTCTGTTCAGCCAGTTATAGACAACTCTTCTTCAACTCTTCACCTGCCTAGAGTATGGGGCAATAGCAGTTTTTTGCATTCAGCAAGAAGGTGGCAAAACAAAAACCAGAACTATCATTTGCTCTTTTATCTGGAGATACCTATACATGGCACATACACATGGCACATGCATGTACTCTTCTCTCTCCCTGGCAAAGATTAAATAGTAGGATTCCCTTAGAATTATATATGGCTACATCTTTTCCTCATGATGAAATGAAAATTCAAAAGAAAAACATAACAAAAAATAAATACGAAATACTTTATTCTTGATACCACTGATCTTGACCATCCAGAAGTATACCCAGACAACTTACATTATTAAAAAAATTACATAAAAAATATGCTGCATCTTTCATGGAAAGAAAGAAATTAAGCGCTCTCTTAACACATATGAAAATGTAGACCTATACCATACCAACATGATCACCTTATTAGATCTAGTCAGGCAGTGATTCACAATGAATAACTCCTCTACTTAATTCAAATATGTTTGTATGATTAGGACAGGTAATGAAACACATTTCCAGAAGTGATTTGAAAACTGTAAGGTGTCAATACATTAAATGCGAAAATTTTAATGTACCTAATCACAGCACAAATAAGCACCTCTACAAAGAGGTAAATCAGTAGTTGTTTTATTGTGAAAATTAAATATTGCTTTTTTAGTATTAATTGCAAAAAAAAAAAAAGACAGCTTGTTTCTGCTTTCTTTCCCTCTCATCATGAATTATATACAACACAAATGCAAAATCAGTAGTATTAAAAAAAAAAAAAAGTGGAGGTTGCCAAACTATGATTACAATCAAATTGAATGTTAATGTCCCAGGAGATTAACGGCTATGACATTTAACAGGATTCTAAACATAACATATGGTCTGTACATACCACTAGTCCCACCCCTACAAATGCAACTCTGCCATCTAACTAAAAATATCAGTAGAAAACTAGAGCAAACAAATTGTTGCTACCTGAACAATCAAGTATTGGTTAAGATTGGGCCTTCCTTTAGAGTGAACCTTGATATTTCATTAACTGCTTTACAAAGTATTTAGAGATAGGCCTTGTAAAATTGTGGGGGGGGGGGAGAAGGGGGCAGTAAATACAACAACAACAATTCTTGGAAGAGTTCAAATCTGGACAGAGCCTCTGTGTTTGATTCTATTGGTTTTTCATCAAGTGTTGGACACAGAGTTATGTTACAAATTTCACATAGCAATATCAATATATTCCCTATATGCACAGGACACACAGGAAGTAACTTTATAATATGGTGAGGATGAAGCCTTATGTGCTAATTATCCTGCTGTAAAGTCCTGGCAGAGACAGAAAATCTCTTAGTTTTTACTGTGAGTCAACTAAGCAAGGTCTTTACTGCATTCTGCATTCATAAACGACCTGCCCCAGTTTATCTCCCAGTAATACTGGAGTATTTCTCTCTATTGGGAGAGGTCAAGAAGAACTAAACATGGATTTATTTTTAGCAGTGCAGATGCAGACTGTTTTCAAAGTGGCCTAGGACAGCAAAGCAATACAGCACACAGCTTGAAGACACCAAGTCTGCTGTCCTTTTAGAGAAAGCAAAAGTAGCCATCACCTCTGTATATAGCTGTTGCTACAGACAAAGGAACAATATGAAGGTGACTACTGTTGTAAGACACCGTGCTGGGATCTACACTGGCTACTTCTCACAGGTTTGATGCTTTAGATGGACTCTACCGAAAAGGCTGCTTATTTCCCCATTTTGTATTTTTGGCTGTTCCACTCAATTTGAATTCTCTCGGCACAGTTGCTGGGATGGCTGGCTACGTTTGCCACAAAGGCTCCTTGCCTCTAACTTGTTTTCTATGCTATACACACAACTTGCTTCAGTAGAAACAATATTTAAACAGGCAAATGCTCTCTCCTGTGGAATTTAACCACTGCCAATTGATGATATGTAGATGGCAGGAGAAGAAATGAAACGTCCAACCCCAGACCTCCAGCCTCTGCCTCTAGGAATCCAAATCAATGGCCTGAAGTGGGGTCAGTCTGGTGACAAATCAGAGCATTCTGCAAGACAATTTTCTTGCCACAGCTTTGGGGAAAGTTTGAGAAATATATTTTTCTACCTATTGATAAACTTTTCCTCTGAATGACAGTAGCATTGATAAATGGCTTTCATCTGAACCAAGACTTTAGGTATGGAGGGGGTATTCTAAATATATGGAGGTTTTCTGACATCTCAATAAACATAGCAAATGATAGGGAAACCCTTAAGAGTAAAAAAAAAAGCAACAACTTCTGTTGTTTAGTACATTCATATTTCTAGATTTTAGGCAGAATCTAGACAATATGGAATACAATTAAAAAAAATAAATCTATTGCCTTACCACCGTGCTCCTAAGAAATTTTGGGCATCAGGCAAGCACAAAGTGCAGTAGTTTGCATTTAGGAAGAGTAGGTGCAGGACAACAGTCTTTGTGTCCCATCGCCTTCATTTTCAAAATCAAAAATGCCCATATGAGGAGGCATCAGTCCAGAGAAATCATGACTTTCAAAAGGCAACAGGCTCCATTTTCTGTTTTATTTCCACATGTGTGTCCTAAATCCCATGCTGCAGGAACTGGGCTTTTCCGATGTCTTCAGACAAAACAGTATATTCCCCTAATTACCTGGTACTCTGCTGTCTTTTACAGTCCTGCCTCCAGGAACGCTACTTCCCTCGTTCAGAGAGCTGCCCAGCATTTACAAGGATGAGGCCTTCTTCCAAAGCATCTCAGTGAGCCTGGCTCACAACTGGCCACCCACTCTCACTGAGGAGGTATATCCAAAGCAAACTATTTGGAAAGGATTCTCACTCAGTTGCAGGTTCGGGGAGTAACTTTAACCAAGTATTTGACAGAATGATGCTGCAGAGCTAAGCAAAGTGTGTGCGGGTGGGGAATACATGGCATGGTTTCAAAATTCATACAACACAGTTCCCCGTCTGAAGAAAGGAAGATGTCATCACATGGGAGCTCACAGGTGGCCATCTCAATTGGGACACTGATCTCAACAGTCCTTGAAGAGCCTAAGGATGTCCTCAATACAAGCTGATACTTTTGCAGCAGCAGAAAAAAATATGCTTTCTGTGGGGGAAGCCACTTAGTCTTGAACTGGAGGCCTGCGGATTGGAGAAAGTACAGCTGCCCAAGCCTGTTGGAAGAGCTGGACCAGTCTATAAAGAAACGGCAGTGACGTGGGAGAAGCTGCAGAACAAAACAAAAACCAAAAGAGCCTTTCATTTTAAGAGCGAAAACTAAGATACGCTAAACATACTAAGAAAAGACTGATCCCAACCAGCAATAACGGAAGCGTAGGTGTTTTATTTCTTCCCGTTTGGTTCAGTTCTCAGGCCTTAACCTAGGCCACTGCTCCCATCCCTAGCATGCTTTCTTCAGTATTTTCCAATAGACTATTCGTGGAACAGCAACAGAGCACCTACCACCCAGTAGAAGGGGCGTCTCCAGATAGAGGGGGGACACACATCCCCCCTGCTCGCCAGAAGCCGTCCACATCACAGGACCAGCCCATTCTTCAGCGACAGAGGCAACCATTACTAGTGAGAGACCAGCATAAGCAAAACCAACGCTTGAATACGTCACTGGCCTGGGCAACTCTGTACTTTCCTGGCAGCACAGCCCCAGGAGGCAATCACTCTTCCAGAAGGCATTCACCTTGTAGCACCTCAAGCTAACTGGGGCAGAGGCTGGGTCTAGGACAGCTCAGTCAGTCTCTAACAGTTTGCACCTTGTCTGTTAGAAAAAGCTGAAGATGGGATAACTGTTTACAGACATCTGCTTTTGTTGAGTTACATGTTTCTACACGGACTCCAGGTGGAAAAACTAGAAACAAGCCTAAAAAATAAATTCCTAGCCACCCGGTTCTTTTATGTTCTTTAGATCTTTTATGCCCCAAAGACAACACAATTACATAGACCATATCTATCAAAAGCAACTCTTAATTTATTCTCTGTAGCCGTAGTGGATTAAAAAAAATAAAAGCTCTAAATTCTGTACCTGGGTCTAATCTCACCACCACCAGATATAGCATAAAAGCAGCCAAGAGAATCTTTTTGTAAGGAATTAAATAGAAGTGGCTTGACATGGACCTCAGTGCTCTCCGGAGCAATGTCAACATGGTCAAGAGCTTTTGGGACAGAGCACCTAGAAACAAGAATAAAAAGGCTGTTAGGGCAAAATAAAGTGGGAAAAAAAATCACTTAGAAGAGTCAGTAGTGGTGCCATCCATCTCACCTAACTGTAGACACATCTTAGTTTGATCGCATGCGTCTCTTTTATAGGGAACAGAGAGAAATTACACAATTTTAGGATACAATTCATTGGATCTTTTTTAGGTATCTGCTTTAGGACGATATGAACTTATACCACAGCAGTGCAAACATCTCTGCTGGTAGATAACTCCAGGTGATTTACAGTTCTGGCAGATAAGTAGTACTTTAAATGCCATGGCTTGCTCTACATGGGCTTAACTATTAATGGAGAAGAAGCAAAAAGTACACAGATCCAACAACACATACCCTTAAAGGATGCACTTGCTAGTTTTAGTTGCCTGTTTGTACTGTAATACATTTATTCTGAAATGTTTTAGAAGCTTGAAAATAATTCCCATCTTCTGACACTGGTGGAGACTAAATCCCCTTTGTAATTATCAGCACATGGATCAGCAAGTCTTCCACTGCCTTCCGGGATATAGTCCAGTCCTTCTGTGACTTCCTCATGGCTGGTATGTCCTGACATTATTATTAATATACAGTTACTACTTGCTACCCTTTGTTAGTAAGGGATCTAACAATGCTGGTTAGGTACTACTACAGACCCGTTAGAGCCATAGGTGAAAGGCCTTACCATACCCAGCCATTTGAAATGACGCTGCTAACTCATTTACGGAAACATTCCATAAGGTGGTCAACTTGTCATCTCACTGGTAAAAGGAAACCACCACTACACAGCCAGACTTAAGAAAGGAGAGAGGAAAATTTTCCTAAGCCATTCTTCTGAATCCAGTGCTGCACAACAAAACAAGGCGTGAAAACTGTTTCCATGCTGTGTCCACAGAGGATGGACTACCCACAACGCAACAGCCATCAACAACCAGGCTAAAAACTAAGCAGAATCACACTCGAGAGTGCAGAACAAATCTTCAAAACTCTTTGAGGATTTACAGGCAATACCCCAACAATTCTGAGGCATCAAACTACAGCTGCTCTACTTCAGACAGTAGCAGAGGGCTACAACAAACAAACAACCTATAAGCAGCTTTTGTTTTTTGAACTTGTTTCCCTTCTTGTTGTCCCAGTGGCACTTTGCTGTCTGTACCCACTGCAAAGTCCTGAGTGCTTGAGGAAGCTGTCTCACTGATGATAGGTCTAGGGCACATGTTGAAGTTCTGGGATGGGCTATCATAGATTATAAAGAAGGGAACAGACAGTCCGCAGATAACAGAAAGAGAACACGGATGTATACGATTTACATTACAATCTAACTTGAACCATTTTGATAATATTTAAGATAGCCAGATCTCTAAAACTTTGAAGGAAAAAAAAACGGAGGAGCACAAACAATGGAGGGAAAGCCTACCCAAAACTGTCTCTCTTGTGGTGTCTTGCTGCTCTTCAGCAGCTGAGCGCATCTCTTCCTGTTGAGTCCACTGACATTGGCTTTCACAAATGATCTTGAGAAGTGCTTGCTGCTGCTCACTGTCAAAAACATCACAGCCCCGCACAAGCTCTTCTGCCCCCTCAAACTGGCCAAGGGGAAGCAAAACACGCAACAGATAGAGCTCCAGCAACGAACCATACTCAGGGAGGCTCCTATTGGTTACGTCTCTCAGCCAGCTACTGCCAACCTCCAGCATCACCTGGGGCTCTCTCACTTTGCTATATAACAGGATGCTAGAACACAACAAAGACAAATATTAGAAGACACAACATCTTTTTAAATTGAGATGAACTGACAGTTACTACTCACAAGCAGCTATCATCAAGGCTTATGTCAAGGTCTACACTCCAGGTAGAGGAAGAGATTTCTGAGACAGGTGGTAGGTACAACCACTGATGTTACTCTCAGAATGACCCCTTTTGTTCCTTATCACCCTAAAGCAGTCTGCTGGCCTGCAGGCATGCTCAGGCACACATAAGTCCAGTTGCTCCCAAAGGCTGCCTCTCAGCAGGCTCAGGGTGGCTAGCACCATGCCTAACGCTAGCGTATGCGTTCAGAGAGCAAAATGATCTGCAACAGAAACTAATTCAGCTTTTTTTTTTTTTTTAATTATTTTTCTTTTCAAGAACATGCTTGTCCCAGGTTCCACTTTCATCCCGGTTTACAGCATACAAAGTGAAAATGCAGTCTGGCCTGTTATTAAACCTAGTCCTGTGTACCTGGCAGTCGCATGGAGAAACTCACCACAGCTCCAGGATTTTTGGAGGCAGATGCTCAGGGACGTGATAATACTGTAGGACCCAAGAGAGAACTTCCCGCCACCGGTTCATCTCCGCCAGGGCCTGAATCCCCACAACACAGAGGGAGCATTTCACTTCTGCAGAGCTGAAAAGGAAGACAGACAAACCTCCGCAGCTCCCTAAGCGGCCTGAAACTCCACGAGCCCCTAAACCAGCCCTGAGCCCCCAGCCCTGCCGGCTCGTACCTCCCGGCCCCGGCCTCGGCCCCCGCCCCCGC